TTTATAGACCTCCATCATATCCCCCCTTTTCTCTTTTCTAAACTGAAAAGTCACAAATCTAACTTGAAAAATCTCAAACTTTCAGAGTGGTGAATGACTGGAATAAACCTCTCAGGGTATGTCTACACTACCCTCCTAATTCAAACTAGGAGGGTAATGTAGGCATACCGCACTTGCAAATGAAGCCCGGGATTTGAATTTCCCGGGCTTCATTTGCATAAGTCGGGCGCCGCCATTTCTAAATCCCGGCTCGTTCGAACACGGCTACACGCGGCACGGGGTTCGAACGAGCCAGGATTTAAAAATGGCGGCGCCCGGCTTATGCAAATGAAGCCCGGGAAATTCAAATCCCGGGCTTCATTTGCAAGTGCGGTATGCCTACATTACCCTCCTAGTTTGAATTAGGAGGGTAGTGTAGACATACCCTGAGAGGTTTATTCCAGTCATTCACCACTCTGAAAGTTTGAGATTTTTCAAGTTAGATTTGTGACTTTTTCTAGAATCCCTACCATTGGGTTTAAGGGCAGGTAAGAGCAGGTTAGGTTGGTTTAGTCTCTAGATAATGGTTAGTCCTTCTATTTGTGCAGGGGATTGGACTCTTTAACATCTCAAGTCTCTTCCAGTCCTACAGTTCTCTGAACAAGCCAGTGTCCCCAGCATCCAAGTCTTCCCAAAGTTAAGCACAGATCTCACTGATTCACTGGTAGTTTGGTCCTCCCACCTACTATCTCTAGGCCTCTACACCTGCTTTTGATCCTCTCCATCACCCGTGCTAGCACAGACTCATCAGAGATGCGCTACCAGGGCCTGTCACAACAACCACTGCCCAAAGGACCGGCTGCAGGGGTGTTGTAGAGGGTGGACAGAGCTGCACAGGTATGGGAAGGCTGGTTAAAGTGGCAGATGGGTACAATACCCAAGCATAGATTGGTGAGATGGTTTCAAATTTTCCTTACCCATAGTGCAGCCACAGACTCCACCAGGGCAAACTTCACTTGTGTTGCAAAGGAGAGGTAACTGAAAAGCCTCGAATTTCTCTTGGGGATCCAGGCAGCTGCAGCCAGACAGCTTCCTGGCAGCTGAACATTCAGAGAAAAATGATCGATTTTCTATGAAAACTAACCCAAAAAATGGGTGAAAAGGAAACATTTAATTTGGATTTTTTTTTTTGCTGGGGGTACAAGGGCTGTTTTCCAGCCTAGCTCTGATTTAAAGCAGGAGCTTCTCATGTACTTATAAAACAATGCTGATCATTTCTTTTATCGTTTGTGTCTTGCTCTTGCTCTTTTGTGACTGGTTCTTTGAGCTGGGTGCCTAGTTTTGCCAAACCCTGTGCACAAAAGGATGAGACATTGCAACAGGCTAATGGGAGGCTCTTCTCCTTTTCCCTTTGGTTTCTGAGACATAGGTGTGCCACGGCTTCCATATTTAGCTGTTCTGCAACACACTTTTTGAAATAAGCCTTTTTTTTTTTTAAATGAAAGCTCAGATTTCCACACCGTGTCTTGATCTCAGAAGTAGGGGCTTTGAGGAAGACTGGGGGGAAATGGAGAACTCCCAATGAAATCATGTATAGCACCTGCAAATGAAGGCTTTAAGGGTTGGTTAGTGGACATTTCTGGTCACACAGATCTTCAGTGACAGAGATGCTGTGTATCTCTACCATGGACTACAGAGACCCTTGAAAGGAATAGGGTTATGCCACAGACATCCAGCTATAACTATGACAGGCTCCTAGAGACACTGGTGCCTGAAACACAGCCCCGTGGGTCTCCTCTTCGTGTTCAGACGTAAGACATGCACGTATGAAAGGCCATGAACATTTTAAACAGAAAGGAGCATGACCCAATCCCAGCTCTCAATGCCTGCTGCTAGCTTTCTGTTGGGCACAAACAACCCCCTCCCCCAGATCCATTTACCCCCCAAACTGGTGATGATGGAGGGTGTGAAATCCATCTCCAGCACTAGATTGGCTCTTGCTGCGGATGAATGGATAGAGGTCAGGATCAGACCACAAGGCAGCCTGTTCTGTTTGGCCAGGCAATGTTCTCTGGATCCTTCACTGTTTGGAAGTGCGTCCTGATTCCCTCTCTTATACCGAAGAGCTACAGGAGGGGCTGAGAACCCCGTTGCCAAAGGGTGCTGTACTAACGACAGGCCTCATGACCAACTTGTGCTTGGAAAAGTCCAGGCTCTTCACCCATTGCCCAAGTTGTCCTAAAGAGGCACACAGAGCTAAAATCTCTCTAAGACACTTTGCTCTGATCCCAGTTATTGCAGTGTTCAAGGTCCTAACAACGTATAATGTATTTATCAGGGTGACTCTAACACTCGTGATTGCAACCGCCCCCAGGTGGATTTGAACCTGGGACCTCTGAAGCTTAGTATAAGAGCCTCTACCCCCTGAGCTAAAAGCCTGCTGCCTCCATGCCCCTGCTGTAGAGGTCTCTTGATCTTAACAGTTGCTGTGGTCTAGGTACCACTGGAATTGCACAGTAACTGCACTAAGGCTATGTCTACACTGGCGGCTTCTTGCGCCAGCAATATGCAAATGAGGCTAAGTGTGGAATATTGCTGAGCCTCATTTGCATACCTAATGAGCTGCCATTTTTTTGCAGAAGAGGATCTTGCACCAGAAGGAGCATCTACACTGCCTCTTCTTGCGCAAGAAAAGCCCTCTTGTGCAATGCCGTTATTTCTGAAAATAATCAGCGTAGCAACATTGCGCAAGAGGGTTTTTCTTTCGCAAGAAGGGGCAGTATAGCTGCTCCTTCTGGTGCAAGAGCCTCCTCTGCAAAAAATGGCCGCCATTAGGTATGCAAATGAGGCTCGGCAATATTCCACGGTTAGCCTCATTTGCATATTTCTGGAGCAAGAAGCTGCCAGTGTAGACATAGCCAAGGTGTGCGGGTTACACGATTGTTCTCTAGTGTGCTGATTATAACACTGACACCCGTCTTCTTGCTCTCCGGAGCTCCCCACCACCTGGTCCTGCTGGACAGTGTAACCCTCTTTTTCCTCCCCACGTTACTTGGGAACAGGTCACACTCATAGATGTGCCTGGGTGCCTGATGGTTTTAACATACAAGGAGATCCTGAGTACCCCAGTGGTGATGTTGTTTAGGTGGGGATTCCCTATCCTCCCCTTTGCTGCAGTCCCTGGCTCATAAAGAATATACAATGGTGGTGCCTCCACCTGGCTGGCCGTGTACACACTTAATGGTGTGCCTTGGAAGCCTCCAGGAATAAAGTCATTCCAGCAATAATCTGGATCTAACTCCAGGACAACAATTACAAATTATAAATAATATACATCTACTTGATTACATTAGAATGAACCCACTTTTACTTAATTTAAACAGGGTTTTACAGATTAACAGTGAATAATATTAATAAAGTACACAGAAACAATAGGAATTTATCTGGCTGTCACGTTATTGGATTTTGAGGGGAGCAGCCGGGTCACTGCTGTACCCATGGGGGCGTGTTCACCCCAAAAGTGGCACAAAGAGGGCCATGTGAGGTGTCAAATAGAAGTTTACTTTCTTCTGATTCTCAAAATGCTATTCATGTGATTGTATAATGTCTGTTTCTGAAGATATAAGCATGTTCTTTGTATGAGTACTGAATATTTCTCTATATGTGGTTGAGTAATGGGCCAGGAATGTTTGTCTATTGACATGCTAATGAGCAAAGCTCTGGACCAATAGCCCTCTATAGGCCAAGGACACACCTCGAGAATGGTGACTCATACCAAGGGGCTACCAGCAGGGAACACAGGGATAGACCATGGGCCAGGTGACCTGCTGCAGCCAAGAAGAGACCAGGAAGGATGTATAAATATGCCATGTGGCCGACTCCATCTTGGTCTTCATATCTGCTCCTGACCCCAGATGCAGCCTCGCGGGGAATCATGAGCCGGGAAGAACTGTAGACCCATCTTGACATAGGATGTGCAACAAGGACTTTTAAGCCAGCAGCTATAACATCTCTGCTAGAGCCTGCATCGAGAACTGGGAGATTCGATGCATGTAATGTGTGATACTTTAACAACCTCACTCTCGTGCTTTTCTTTCTTGTAGTAATAAACCTTTAGATCGTAGATTCTAAAGGACTGGTTCTGCGTGGTTTGTGAGTAAGATCCAGAGAGTAAATTGGCCTGGGATCTGTGGCTGGGTTCTTGGAACCGGACAGAACTCGTTCGGGGTAGGGGGGGTTGGGTTCTAAGACCCCTCACCTGTGTATGAGGCCTGGGACCATCCGGGGCATGGATATTGCTGGGGTGTCGGAGGGGTTTTGCTCGTGAGGCTTCAGGCAGGCAGCTGAAGCACTCTGTGGGACTGGTTTGTGGCCTATTTGAGAAGGTCTCCAGTTGGGGGCTAGATAGAGCCCTGAATGTGAGCAATTTGCCCTGAGTGAATGCCCTCAGCTGTGCCCAGATCTGGCCCGGTCTATCACACTGGCATTTGCACTGCCACCATTTATCCCACCCCAGAGTGTGCCCTTCTCTGGACTCAGAGTCCCAGACGAGTGCGTGGGCACACTTGAAGATCTGCAGCTGGAGTGGAGGTTCTCTGGAGGTTGTGTGTGTGTTCATCCAAGCTGTGAAGCCAGCTGCAAACTCCCTCTGCCACTGGAGCAGCCCTGAATGTGAGCAATTTGCCCTGAGTGAATGCCCTCAGCTGTGCCCAGATCTGGCCCGGTCTATCACACTGGCATTTGCACTGCCACCATTTATCCCACCCCAGAGTGTGCCCTTCTCTGGACTCAGAGTCCCAGACGAGTGCGTGGGCACACTTGAAGATCTGCAGCTGGAGTGGAGGTTCTCTGGAGGTTGTGTGTGTGTTCATCCAAGCTGTGAAGCCAGCTGCAAACTCCCTCTGCCACTGGAGCAGGCTCCACCAAACACCAGCAGCTCTGGTTCTCTTTGGACCCAAAGTGAGTCTATATCTTGGAGGTTTGTCCCAGGAAGCACTTTCCCAAAGAGCCCAGTTACTTACAGCCTCCTCCTATGTGCTGGTTGTTGTGTAGTCCTCCTCAGCCACAGGCACAGCCAGAGTCTCTCCCCTCTAGGGCAATCAGCAGCCAGCTAGATCCAAGCACCGCAGACTTTCAGTCCCAGGCTGTAGCCACAACACAACAGCTCCTGGGCTGGATATAAGGCTCCTCCACAACAGTCTGGTTCCCCTCTCCCAAAATGGAGAGCTCCAGACTGCTGAGACCCTCTCTCAACATGCCGGGACAAGCCCTTTCTTCCTCAAGGGGTCATGGGAGTTGTAGTTTCCAGGGTTAGATTGCTGCACACAGGATCCTCTCAGAAAAAATTCAGAGGCACCTTTAGTAAGGGGACTACAACAGATTCTCAGTTCTTCCCTAGACAAGGCATGGAGTTGGGGTAACCACCCCCCACCATCCCAGAGAGCAATGCAGACACTGAATCACTCCAGCTCAGGGGAGATGCAGTGCTCTGGCATAGCACCCAGGAAGCCAACCCTCAAAAGGGATCAAAACCCCCGATAAATCCGTCTTTCTCTGTGTAAAAGTTTTACACAAGGAAAGATCATGAGGATGTTCTTCCTCCATGAAAGAGAGATATGCACACTCATTGGTCTTTCCCCCCAGGAAACAATAATTTACACTTGGCCTGATAGTAAACAAAAGTGTTTAAACAAGTACAAACGGTAAGATTTAAGTGGTTGCAAGTGAAAACAAATCAAAGAAAGTTACTACAAACGAAAAGAAAACACATACAGGCAGTCCCCGGGTTACGTACAAGATAGGGACTGTAGGTTTGTTCTTAAGTTGAATTTGTATGTAAGTCGGAACTGGTACATATTGTAGGGGAAACACTAGCCAAACATTTCTCCAGAGCTCAGTTTTATTCTCTCACAACTCACTTCCCTCAGTCCTTTATTCTCAAGCTGAGGTGTCTGCTGAGAAAAGCCGCCCCGCGGCCCCCTGGTCTGCGGGGGGGGGGGGGCGCTAGCTTCGCGTCTCCCTGGTCTGCTGGGGGAAGCAGCTAGTACAGGGTTGCGTCACACCGTTTGTAAGTAGGGATCCGATGTAAGTCGGATCCATGTAACCCGGGGACTGCCTGTAGTTAGTTCTAATTCACTACAAACTCAAAATTGATCTTTCACTCTGACTTGGGTCTCCACATCTCTGTTTCCTTTGTAGCCTAGTGTGTCAGGCTGTTCCTCAGGCCAGCCAAAGACAAAGGCCTGATAACTTCCTCTTGCTTAAATAATCTTCCCCAGGGTGGGAATCTTTTGTTCTCCATTCCCCCTTCCATGGAAAATTACCGGGCTAAAAATGGAATCCCAGTTCCAGGTGGCATGGTCAAATGATTTACTAGTCCAAGGCAGGGCAAACAAGGCTGTTTACAAGTCGACAAGTTGATCGCCCAGTCACTAAGGATTCCTGGGCATCAGGAATGGCTCTCATAAGCACATTTCAAACTATACACGGTCTCATACTTCATATTTCTAACTGTACCTACAAGAATGAGACATGCACCAAATCGGACATTCAGAGTATGTCTGGACTACATGCCTCTGGCGACAGAGGCATGTAGATTAGGGTACCCGGCATAGGAAAATGAAGCGGCGATTTAAATAATCGCCACTTCATTTAAATTAAAATGGCTGATGTGCTGAGCCGATCAGCTGTTTGTCTGCACAGCGTGCTAGTCTGGACGCTCTGCGGTCGACATCGAAGACATTTGTCGACCTCCCCGGTATGCCTTGTGGGATGAGGTTTACTGGGGAGGTCGACAAATGCCTTTGATGTCGACCACGGAGTGTCCATGCTAGCATGCTGTGCCGACAAACAGCTGATCAGCGGAGCGCGACTGCCATTTAAATTTAAATGAAGCGGCAATTATTTAAATTGCTGCTTCAGTTTCCTATTCCGGGTAGCCTAATCTACATACCTCTGTTGCCAGAGGCATGTAGTCTAGACATACCCTCAGATCCAGAAGATTGTAACATGAAAATGTTCAGGTTACATAAGATATTCTTCCAAAGCAACCCCTCCCTGTGGCCAGCACAAACCAAAGAGAGGAGGGAGTCAGGCCCTGAGTCTCTGGCCCGGACTCCTGTGTGAGCGACCCTCCCTCACACACACAGCTCTGCCTTGACTCCGTGGGTGGGAGTGGGTCCAGCGGGTGTGAGGTGTGCAGAGCCATCAACAGGGGAAAGAGGCTGCCTGAATGGGTCTCTGGCATTAATGAAGTCTCTGCCTTAACTCAGTCACAAGCACCTGTTGGAGGGTGTAAGTGAGGGGTGGGTGATAGAGACCTACCGCCCATTGGAAGTTTTGGGGCAACCCCCATAGGCCGTGTGCTTTGGGGGTCCTGTGGGGCATGAGGAGACCCAGGAGACTAATAGCAGACCCCCTGCACTCACTGGCAGCTGCAGGAAGCAAAGGAACCCAATCACAGCCCGTGTCTCTCCCCAGCTCCAAGCTGCACTGCCTAATAAGCCCTGTGCAGGGCCTCAGGGCTGCCATGCACAGAGCTGCTGTGGCCTTCTTACCCCCCAGTCTCAGCTGCTCCAGGCTCGGGCAGAGAAGCGCATCCCTCCCCTGGCTGCAGCAGATGACTGAGCCAGCCACAGGAAAGATGTGCTCTGCAAGCCCCAGGAGCAAGGCTGGATTAAATAAGGGACTTTATGGGCCATAGTGCTGGGTCATGGACAAAAGAGGGCACCTTAGCTCAGGATCCTGGGCTGCCTCCATAAACCTCTGTGTCCTTGGAGGCTCTTCCTGGGTGGGAATGAGACAGTTCTGTTCACGGATCATTCCTTGACCCCTGTCTGCAGCCATGTTACCATGAGGGCTAAAGGAAGCGCTCTCCCTGTGGTCCCCTCAAAGGCGCCCTTTCGGGAGAGCGGGGAGGGGGAGGCAGCAGCCATGCGCACCGGAATGTGGCTTGTTTTCTTCCCATTCCCCTGACTATCAGGGCACTCAAGAAGATCTAGGACTGGAACTGAATATTATCCCTAAAATTTTTTCGTGGCCCGTGGACGTTTAATCACAGATGGGAGAATGACAAGCCAGCTGTCCTGGGAGACAGAATCAATGTCCCTTCTCCTTATTGACTGTATTGATAGGAATTCTGAGGTTGGTGCAACCACTGATATGGTTCTTTACGGACCAGCATCCCACAGTCCCCTGGCTCTCAACAAACACAGTCACTTTTAACAGTTGCTCCTTCACTGAGCGCACTGTACTTCCTCCCCAGTGGGAGGGGACAGGCCTTCTCACATGGCTCCAGGACTCACACCCCATTAGAACATACTTCTATAGAATGAGGGTCCTAGTTCATATGTAACGGCTCAGGAGGGAACAGGTGTCGGTTGCTGGCTATTTTCATGGCACGGGTCATTGCTGCTGAAGCTGGGAGATGAGCTCACCCTTCACTTGAATAACACCCTGACGATCCTCGCACGCAGGTGTTTGCTTTTCACGCTGTACACGATCGGGTTCATCAGGGGCGGGACCAGCAGGGAGATGTAGCCCAGGAGAATCTGAAGCAAGAGGGAAGAGCTATTCCCGAATCTATGAACGACAGACAAGCCAATATCTGGTATGTAGAAGAGAAGCACGGCGCAGAGGTGGGAGACGCAGGTCTTCAGGGCCTTCAGGCACTCCGTGGAAGATGCTACACTCAGCACAGTTTTGAGGATCATAACGTAGGAAAGAAAGATGAACAAAGAATCTAAGCCCACTGCAAAAAGTTTGATAGCAAAACCATAGATGCTGTTGACGGTGATGTCCGCACAGGCCATCTTCATGACCTCCTGGTGCAGGCAGTAGGAGTGGGAGAGGACATTGGTTCGACAGTATTGGAATCGTTTCAAGAGAAATGGGAGAGGGAATATTAGGGCCACGGACCTTATCACAAACACCAGTCCCATCTTGGTTATTGTTGGCAGGGTTAAGATGGACGTGTACCTCAGTGGGATACAAATAGCGACGAAGCGGTCAAAGGCCATCAACAAGAGCACGGAGGACTCAATGTATGAAAACGAGTGGATGAAGAACATCTGGGCAAAACAGGCATCCAGGCTGATCTCCCTCCAATTAAACAAGAATATGCTCAGGATTGTCGGTATGGTGGCTATCGATAAGCCAAGGTCTGTGAGTGCCAACATGGAGAGGAAAATGTACATGGGCTCATGGAGGCTTAGATCTGTTTTTATAATGAATAGAATGACTGAATTGCCTACTATTGAAACAACATACATTAAGCAGAAAAAGACAGCAATCCAGAGATGGACGTCGTCCAACCCAGGTATCCCGGTGAGAAGGAACACGGCTGAGTTGAGTCTTGTGTCATTAACCACTGTCATCATGTTCTGAGGTCATCCAAGGAGTGTGCAGCTTTCCTTTGTGAAAAAAGAACACAAGACAAGATGATATGTAGCAAGACATCTCTCTGCTCTCAAGACACATCGCCAGTGTCCCAAGCGCTCAAGGGACATGGCCAGAAATATAGTCTTGTTTTTACAGCATTCATGGGAAGGAAGATTGGCGCTGCTAGACTGGATCAGACATGGAGCCCATCTATCGCAGTGCCCGGTGGCCATTTCCAGATGCGGCAGAGGAAGGTGGAAGGAGCCTTACAATAGCCATGGGTTAACCTGCTCCCAGAGAAAATTTCCCCTTTCACCCACTAAGTAGACATATTTAGCTGTGTAAATCAGGACAGTGCAGAGAACTTCTAATACTTTAAATAACAAAACTCACTGCTGGAATGAGATTTCTTGGTAGCCCACATAAACATCTAGTCCCTCTGAATCCTGCTGAGTGCTTTCCCTCGTTTACATCTTGTGGCTGGGAGTTCCACAGACTACTGAAAAACACTGTGAATTTGGCAATTGGGACTTTCCGATAGGCACCCTTTCTGACTCTCCGTGGCTGAGTGTTCTCCATGGTATCAGGACGTGTGTTTAAATGCATGGCAAGTGCATGGTGAAAGCAGTCATTGTGTTTATTAGTACAGCATGTAAACATATTTCATTGTCTGATGGTGTACAATATTATTTGCTCCACTACTGACAGTCCAAATTATGCCACTGCTTCTTACTAGCAAAATGGATATTCTCAGTTCCAGGTTCTGAATTAAATTACATTGATGTAAGCTGCATCACTCCATATTTACATATACAAATTCACTCAGAACTGACATACTGAGTCAGACCAAATGTCCATCAAGCCCGGTATCCTAACTTCTGAAAAGGGCCAATGCCAGGTGCCACAGAGGGACTGAACAGAACAGGGAATCATCAAGTGATTTTTCCTCTATCTCCCATTCCCAGCTTCTGACAAACAGAGGCAAGGGACACCACTCCTACCCATCCTGAAAAATAAGCATTGTTGGACCTATACATGAATTTATCTAGTTATTTTTTTGGACCCATTAAAGCCCTGGTCTTCATAACATCCTCTGGCAATGAGTTCCGCAGGTTGACTTTGCGCTGTGTGAAGAAATACTTTCTTTTGTTTGTTTTAAACCCGCTATCTATTAATTTCATTGGGTGACCCCTAGTTCTTATGTTATGGGAACAAGTAAATAACTTTTCCTTATTCACTTTCTACACACCAGTCATGATTTTATAGACCTCTATCATATTCTCCATTTGTCTCCTTTTTCTAAGTTGAAAAGTCTCAGTCTTTTTAATCTCTCTTCATAAGGCTGCCATTCAAAATCCCTAATCATTTATGTTGCTCTTTTCTGGAATTTTTTCAATGCCAAGATATCTGACGTGACACATCTATACACTGTATTCAGGATGTGGGCATAACAGGAATTTATAGAGAGGCAATCAGATTTTCTCTGTCTTATTCTCTATCCCTTTTTAAATGATTCCCAACATTCCATTTGCTTTTTTTGACTGCCGCTGCACACTATTCGGATGTTTCAGAGAACTACCCACCATGACTCCAGGATCTCTCTCTTGAGTGGTAACAGATGAATTTAGTTGCCAATATTTTGTATGTATATTTGGGCTTATGTTTTGCCATGTTCATTACTTTGCATTTATCAACATTAAAATCCATTTGCCATTTTGTTGCCCAGTCACCCAGTTTGGGTAGGTCTTTTTGAAGCTCTTCACAGTTTTCCTTTCTGTGACAGATCTGGCATGCTGTCCCAGTCTGCGGTGACATGGGGACATCCCCGGGTTATAGTCTGGACTGTTGATAAGCTGAGTCCCTCAGATCCCCACACAGTGCTTTGCTGAAAGATCCACCACTCCAGGTTTGCTCCACATAACTTGCAGGATGTAAATCACTCTCAGCTGTATTCTACAAGAGCTATGGCCAGCCCGCCATGAATTACTCTGCAGGGCAGCACTAGCAAACTCCCCTTGCCACAATTTTCCCTGAAATATGCATCTTTTACTACCCTTACCAGCTGACAGCTTCTGAACAGCACAAAGTCATAGACAATCCATCTATAGTACATACAGAATGGGAAGCGACTGTCTAGGGAGGAGTACTGCAGAGAGGAATCTAGGGGTCATAGTGGACCACAAGCTCAATATGAGCTAACACTGACACTGTTGGCAAACATGATTCTGGGCTGCATTACCAGGAGTGTTGTGAGCAAGACACGAGAAGTCATTCCTCCGCTCTACTCTGCGCTGACTAGGCCTCAGTTGGAGTATTCTGTCCAGGTCTGGGCACCACATTTCAAGAAAGATGTGGAGAAATTGGAGAAGGTTCAGAGAAGAGTTACAAAAATGATTAAAGATCTAGAGAACATGAGCTCTGAGGGAAGACAGAAAAAACTGAGCTTGCTTAGTTTGGAAAAGAGAAGACTGAGAGGGGACATGATAGCAGCTTTCAAGTAACTACAAGAATATTACAAGGAGGAGGAAGAAAAATTGTTCTCCTTGGCCTCTGAGGATAGGACAAGAAGCAATGGGCTTAAACTACAGCAAGGGAGGTTTAGGTTGGACATTAGGAAGAACTTGCTAACTGTCAAGGTGGTTAAACACTGGAATAAATTGCCTACGGAGGTTGTGGAATCTCCATCTCTGGAGATATTTAGGAGCAGGCTAGATCGACATCTATCAGGGATGATTCAGAACGTGTTTAGTCCTGCCATGGGGATAGGGGACTGGACTTGATGATCTCTCATGGTCCCTTCCAGTTCTAGTGTTCTATCATACCATGATTCCTTGGTCTTAGCTATCAGTTTAGTATCCTCTGCAAATTTTGCCACCCTGCCGTTTACCCCTTTCTCCAGCTTAGGAGACAGTATCATACAACTGTTCCCTGATCAAAGATTTAGCTATCACAGACAGTAGGTGGCATACTTTTGTCAATTTCAAAATCTAAAACCGTTAAGTGCTAAAGTTACCCCTGCTTCTTCCTCTAGTGAGTCTACAAACTCTGCCACTCCCTGTATATCATGAAAGTTTGCTTTGTAATGTTTTTGACAATTTTTTTTCTGTAACATTTATGTATCTGTACTTTAGCGTTCAGGTACCAACCCATTGTTACCCGTCCAATGGGTTTTCACAGATGATTTTCCAATTAAAATGGGAGTTTAAAATGTAGTGTCTGTCACCTGGATATCCTCAGAACTGGAGAAGATTGCAGCGTTTGCCATGTCATTCGATCACTTGTCAGCAAACAAATAGTCTGGTAACTTCTCTGTTGTTTGCTTAGTAGCTGACTGGGTCTCCTCGGAGTCTGTCCTGTTAGCCTGTTGCCTGTACCCAGAGAGGTAACAGGCATTGGGACCAATATACTGAATATTTGTTCTCCAAGCTCTCACTCTCTAGCACATAGTGACCTCATTACTTCTAACTCTGCCATGGTGAGGGTTTTCAACAAAGGGGTTTCAAAGCAAATATCTGATTATTCATGAAAATGGAACTCCATGTAATACTGGAAAGTAACCTATTGGTCTTGCTCTCTTCCTCTCTGACTCTCTCTGTCCTGTATTCATAAAATATGTAGCAAGGGGAAGCAACAGCTCAAGAAATGCCGTCACTCATTGAGCACCTTAGGGAGGCTGAAAGATCACACCGGAGCTACAAGCTGAGAAGAGCCTGTTTCCATGCTCCAGCCACATAACACAGCTTGTTCGGCCAGTGCTGGGAATATGTCCATAGGTGGGGCAGCTGCTGGGCACACCGCTGGGGAAGTCTGAAAGTCCCCAGCCTGCCTGGGTCCCTGTCAGAGTGGGAGGTTCTAGGGTCAGAGACGTGGACAGACTGTTGTTTGAAAACCCTCCTGTTCCCCCATATTACGTGTATTCTCGTATCTTTTTTGAGATGAGGGGACCACATCTGCATGCAGTGTTCGAGATGTGGGTGTCACATGGATTTCTATGGAGGCAATATGTTTTCTCTTCCTCTCTATCCCTTTTTTAATGCTTCTTAAGATTCTATTTGCTTTTTGACTGCTGCTGAACACTGAATGGATGTTTTCAGACCTTTCTCTTGAGTGGGAAGAGCTAATTTGGTTTCCGTCATTTCACAGGCATTATTGGGACTATGTTTTCTATGAGCTTTACTTTGCATTTCTCAACACTGAATTTCATCTCCCATTTTGTGGTCCAGTCATCTAGCTCTGCAAGACCCTTTTGAATCTCTTTGCAATCTGCTTTCGATTTAATTCTCTTGACTAGATTTGTGTCATCTGCACATTTTGCCACCTCGCTGCTTGCCCCTTACTGCAGATAATTTGTGAATGTATTGAATAGGAATGGGCCCAATACGGACCCTGGCGTGATAACACTAATTACCTCCCCCCATGCTGAGAAGTGACCATTTATTCCTACCTGTTGTTTCCTGTCTTTTAACCAGTTATGGATCCATGAGAGGACCTTCCCTCTAATTCCATGATATGATATGAGACCAGAGCACATGCGCCTCTAGAAATGGGACCCATTAAAACATCCTGACACAGCATTGGGATTATAACACTCCAAGACCGATGTGAAAGTCACATTTCTGCATAGAATAGACTACAGTTGAACATGAGCAGATGGAGGGAAGGGTTCCAAGCTCCCTAGGGATGCCTGCCCTCCAGCCCCATCACTGAGTCACCCCAGCAGCCCAGCTGAGTCCTCTACCGCTGCACAGAATATCTGCCAATGCAAACAGCCTGCAGCCTTCACCCTGCACTTGGCATGTTACAGACAGTGAAACCTGCCCACGTACCCAGTTCCTGCTAGAAGGGAGCCACTGGCACCAGAGGTCTTCACCCTAAAGCACAAGGGGTCATCGGAGAGGTTGCACGAGCAGCAGGCAGTGTGTGTTCAGATAGGGAGGCAACTGCCTTTATGCAGCATGTTTGTACCTTCCCTCGGGGCCACTTGGCCCTCAGGGAACCTCAGCTGTTTGTCTTCGTGTGCACCAGCTTTAACCCCCATGACAGCCAATGGCAAAGGGCAGGAGGCCAAATCCCAGAGGATGGGGGGGGTGATGTTAAACAACTGGCCTGCAGCTCTAGCCCTGCTGCAGGCTCCATTCCTGGAATCTGGACTTACGGGTCTGATTAGTAACGTTGCCACCTTGGTTAATGATGGAGCTGTCACAGCTGTAATACAGCTAACATTGAATTCAATAGAATATTAATACTAGGAATATGGGACAGTATTTCTCCTAGGCTGCCGCTTACCCTTCACTAGATCCAGTGATCCCAAGAGTTAGGCACAGATCTGAGTGGCCCTCCCTGGCAGCTCATCCACCCACCCACAGCCTCTGGGCCACCAGAGCTGGTCTAGGACCCTCTCCAGCTCCTGGCTAGCACAGGCTGGTCAGTGATGTGCTACCAGGGCCTGTCACAGTTGCCACTGACACCAGGTTCTACTGAAGGGTCGTTGTACAGAATGCAGGGGGCTGCCCAGTGACGGGAAGGCTCATTGGAGTAGCTGATGGGCACAGGCTCCCAGCCCTACCCAGAGTGCAGCCACCGATGCTATCAGTGCCCCCTGAATGTATGGTTACCCCATCCCCTTCCAGGCCCCCAACTACCAGATATCCAACAACATCAAGCGGAAGGAGTATTTTTCCAATGTCCTCTAGGTCGTTGTGGACCACTTCAGCCACTTCAGGGATATTAATGCAGGGAAGGCGGACCAACCCCCCCCAGCCATACCCAGAGTGCAGCCACCGATGCTATCAGTGCCCCCTGAATGTATGGTTACCCCATCCCCTTCCAGGCCCCCAACTACCAGATATCCAACAACATCAAGCGGAAGGAGTATTTTTCCAATGTCCTCTAGGTCGTTGTGGACCACTTCAGCCACTTCAGGGATATTAATGCAGGGAAGGCGGATGATGCCTGCATCTCCTGCAACTTCAGCCTCTACTACAAGCTGCACTTGCTTGCACTTTTTTCCACATCAGGGTTGGGGACGTGGACATACCCATATGCATTGTGGGGGACACAGCCTACCCTCTGCTCCCCTGGCTTATGATGGCAACACTGGACCAAAGCAAGGGTCCGTATCATGGTGGAGGGCGCCTTTGACCATTTGAAAGGAAGGTTCCGCTGTCTCCTTACTCTTCTGGACTTCGGCGACCTCGATGCTCCACAAGTGGTGGCAGCCTGCTGTGTCCTGCACAACTTGTGCAAGAACTAGGGGGAGATAATACTGCCAGGGTGGGGGGCAGAGGCGGAAAGGCTCACCAGGCTTTTTGAGCAGCTGCGCACAGTTGCCATCAACCAGGACTATCAGAGGTCTGTGCACATCCGGGGGGCCTGAGGGAAAGTTTCAGACATGGACACCTGTGAGACTCTCTTCTGGGCCTTCCCACAGGGGACTTCTGCAGTGCCATTTCCTCCCCCACCCTTCCCTTCCCTTCCCTTCCCTTCCCTTCCCTTCCCTTCCCTTCCCTTCCCTCCCCTTCCCTTCCCTTCCCTTCCCTTCCCTTCCCTTCTCTTCTGCCATCCTTACACCTACATCTGCCGGGAGGGACAGCATGGCAAGC